AGATAATACAAATATCTGACCAAGAATGGTCTCTGCCTCCCAACTTTATAAGTTCTTGTATTTTAAAAAATATACTTAAATAATCAAAATAATTCTAATTACAATAATTTTACTTCACAATTAATCAGCTAAACACAGCCCTAATGTTAATGCAAGAAACAAAAGATTAACAAATGATTGGAGCAATGCTTTAAAAGACATTGAGCTCTGTCCTCTGTTTTTCTTGGCTGTCTCCCCCTTCCTCTTTTATGTTATGCAGAAACAAAACAAACATTTAGAGTCTGAATCCCTAAATCTAAAGATTGCAGCAACCTGCTGATAACGTAGGTTATTGACACAAAAGCATGCATTGATACAAAATCACTCAAAATGTAACAGAGTTGCATCAGGACAACTTGATGACGCAATGATACTCGCTTCTAGTACATATCATGGTTGACTTTGGACTTACCTTTTAATGAGTAGGACATAACTTTACAGCTGAGGAATTTAGGGCAGTCATACAATCAGCACCCTCTAATCAGGCTGAAAATTTGACAAAACACACTACTTCCTTTGCATGAGCACAGGAGCAGCAGGAGAACCTGTTGGATGTGTCAGAAGTCCCTGAAGGCCAGCAGGATCAGGACCATACAGACCTTGAGGGCGATACTATTCCATAGGGTAGACTTGGCACCTCAAGTATAGTTGGATAATAAGTCAACATCTTAAATTGTTTGAAATTGGTGTCTTCTATCTTTGGAAAATACAACCTGCTGTGGGTAATTTGAAATGGAAATGACAACTTTTGAAGTAAACTTTGAGTCTGCAGTGAAGGAGGAAGAGTTTTGCCTGAACTCGTATCTGTAATGCAAATTATGATTTAACATTCCATCTGAACTGGTCCACAGAGGTAATTGATTTAGTGAATAGATGCCTATATCCACCCAGTGACAGATAATTCTCCTTTCTAATCCTTCCCCATCCCCATACTTTTGGGCCCCCTACCATCAAAACTACCTGATGCTTCACTGAGAACTGCATTTCATAGAAGTCTCCATTTCAACTGAAAACTTCTAATTATTCAAATACTGAGACCTGCCCTTTAATCATTTAGATGGATGAAGTTGGACTAAATGTACCTCATCCATCCAGTCACCATTCTGGGTACTCAATACTGTAGATATAAGCAACCAAAAATACTGCAGATATAAGCAACCAGCTGTTCAAGTACCTGAGTATTGTTATTCCTTCTGTGTTGAAATGTCGATTTGTAAACTTATTTTTTTAATCATTTCCTGCCTTTAAAAAGAGTCAAGATGACCTCAAACTTAGTCTCTCTTGAGGTTGGCTCCTGAATTGTTAAAATGCATTTGATATTAATAGATATCTTTATTCACTCAGCTACCCTCAGATGCTCATCAGTAAAATAATTATACTTTACTGCATGCCTAGTTGTTGTAAAGATGATTTGAGACTAAGGGTGCAAAGTGGGAGAGGCAGATATGGAGTTCTGACAAAACATGGCATTTACATCCATTAATAACACTACTTAGTACTTATGTAGGACTCCTCCTCAGAACTCAACCATTTTGGCCCAATATTTCTGTCATTTTAAGCCTGGAATCCTTGCTTATTAGAGTGCAATGTGTACACAGCTTCTCTGCTTATTCCTTGATTCTTTCACTTTGATGAGTAGATGAACAAATAAGATGTAAATAATTCAGTATAATGTTTAAGTTTTGGCCTTTATCCAAACAGGTCAGGCATTATAAGCAAACTTTAAATAAATTCTTATTGAATGAGTTATTAATTTAGACCTTTTTAGGCATACAAAAATAAGATTATGAGTGTATCTCTGTGCCAGGCTACCCAACCTGATTTCTTAGCTGATTTGTGTGAGCAGGAACAAATAGAATGAATTTTTCCTCACAGGAGCTCAATAAAGCAGAATTCTTAACTTAAATATGCAAACATAAGCTTTACATACAATTCTGCAATAATAATTACAGTATAGCAGCTTTCCCCAGATTAGTGGTCTACAAGCACCATTTTTACCAACCGCCATTGCTAATAGCCATTCTGTAGCTCTAGGAAAGCTGGTTTTCCCTCTCAGATAGACCAGTTATTGCTGCCTGGGTTTACTCATTATGTTAAGTCATTAGGTGACTTGTAGGTTTTTATGTGTAGCATCGTATATGAACTGGCCACAGTACTGGTAAAGTTTTATTAACATTTGTATGGATACAATGTGGTTAAACCAAAGGTGTACCATAAGTTATGAACTAGGCCTATTTCTCTGAACTAAGAAAGGATACAATCTTCCAGTCATTTGGAAGAGCTAGCCATCAGCCACTAAAAACAATGTATCTGAGTGCGATGGTCAACTGTTTAAATAAAGAAAAACAGGCAAAGAACATATTTGTACAAATATCAACCAAGTACAGTGGTACCTCGGGTCGCGAACTTAATTCGTTCCGCGACTCTGGTCACGACCCAAATTGGTCGCGACCCGAATCAAAT